TTCTTTCCGCCAGCTACTATCCTGTCTGCATTTTGATTTGTGTTCTTTCCAATGTTGAGGCTTGAGGCTGAACATAGCAGCCTGGAAGGTGGCTGGCAATCATGAAATATGTATTGAAAAATATATTTCCTCTGAAAACAACAATAACACTGTAGCTGTATTTGACACTAACTTCTAATCATAATAGGAATATAAATCTAAGGAAATTATGATACATCAGAACTAATATATGTATTTATTCAGATCTTTGCAGAATAGAAATCTCACCTAGAAGAGAATAAAGTCTCAGCCATGGCAGGGGACTCGGCCTGCTGTGTTTGTAATGGTTTCAGGACATCCTTCCGACTATAAAAATAAATATAAGTAGTTTATCATAACAAAGTAGTTTATTACCCACATTAAAACAACGTGGAAAGATCTGAGCCTCTAGTTTCCAATGATTCCAGCCATTAGGGGGTGTTGTTGAAAATGAATGCTTGCTGTTGCATTACTACAGCAGAGTCAGACATGTCAGATGGAATTTTAAATCTCATTTTATCTGTTTACACAGCTATAAAACAAAAAAAGGTATTGATGAAAAAAATCATTTTGAAACATGTTATAGAAAATTTAAAGCCCTATTTTGAAAAGCATGTGGATGAAAAGCCATGTGACCGTGTTTTGGCCATTTCTATAAATAGATACTGGGGTTAAGTGTTTAAGTGGAGAGGGCGGGTCTTTTCCAAATTCCAAACTTTGCAAAAATCCTCCACTATACCTTTAATAGCTGTTTAAATAGATCCGAACGTTCAGATTCACCTTTTAAACCTTTTTTTTATTTCTGTTCTTCCAGGTGAATGATTGTGTCATCGGGACAGCGAGTTCCAACAAGAAGTAGATCCAAGTTTTTTGATAACTGCCATGTCAAACTTTTTTTTTTTTTTTTTTTCTATTATCATTTACACCATGTGAAGTTTTGAACCTGTAATATCTGTGGACTTTGGTCTTTAATGTAAAGCCAAATTTCTTAGTCCTGAGATTTTTTTTGTAAATTCTCAGGCTCTGATTACAAATCATTAAACTTGTATTTTAATGGGGTTTTTTTCACCCGTCTTCTTTACATCAAGCCTTTGTGTACCTGTACATATTTGTTTGTCGGCTTTTTTAAATTCTTCAGGTTTTTACTCATACAGTAGATATCATTAATTCCTGTCTGCTTGGGAAAAACATCCATATTATCCATATATTCTTGATCCTGTATTAACAGTATGAATAAATGCAGAATGACTGCAAACAAACGTAGTGCTTTTCTTTTTATTCTTGTAATTTAGTTCCCAGAACTTTTCTATCAGGTCTCACTGTAAAATATAACGGAAACAATAAGCTAAAGTTTTGCTTCCTCTGTAACATTTATTAAACTATAAATGATTTTTATTTTATGTTTATGTTCTCCCTGAGCATGCATGGTTTCTCTCCTGGTACTCCGGCTTCCTCCCACAGTCTAAAAACATGACTGTTAGATTAAATGGCATCTCTAAATTCTCCTTAGGTTGGAGTGTTTTTTGTTTGTGAATGGTTAGATTTCTCTGCATTGCCCTATGATGGACTGGCGACCTGTCCAGAGTGGACCCCGCCTCTCGCCCATAGACTGTCAGAGGGCACAGTCTATGGGCACCAGCACCCCTCCCAACCGCAGCAAGGGTGAAGCGTGATGAAACATGGATGGATGGATATTAATATGGTCAGGCTTTGTTGTAATTGTATTTAAACATGGCAAAACTTCATAGTTTTATAGAAATATTTTCCATTTTTCTTTCTCTGTCTGGATTTTTCTGATATGAATCTAAAAACCAGAGACCATTGCAGAAAAGTCTGTTTCACATGAAATGTAACTTTGGTTATGACTCCCAATAAATACATTACTGCAGAAAAGGTTTCTCAGAGTGCTTTGGTACGCAGAGTCAACTCTGGACAGACAAAAATCAAATGTCATAAATGGGGATCAGAGCAAAACTGCATGAGCAGCAAACGGGCCAGTGACCTATAGAACTGGATCTGGACCCTGTTATAGGCCTTCTAAAGACTTAATACCAAATTATATGTTATGCACTGAGAGCAATAACTTAAATTTTAACAGGTTTACTTTAGCAATGATTTAAAAATGAAGGTGTTACACCTTT